AATTGTTGAGTTATAAAATAACTCAACTGAACCAATAATCTAAACAATAACAACACGTTTAGTTTACGGAATGAATTTTGAGGTAATAGGAATACTATTCCATAAGGAATGGAATAGGCAAGGAATAGAATAGGAATTGTATTCTATTGTTTGGTTCGCGGAAGGAATAGACTTTAGGAATTATATTACAGTGTTTGGTTGATTTAAGGAATAGAAATGAAATATGTTTTAAAAGACATAAATACCCTTATAAAAATATGTGATGGTGGCGGTGGTGGTGGTGGTGGCGGCGGTGGTGGTGGTGCTGGGGTGGTAGTGGTGGTGGTGGCGGTGGCAGTGGTGGGGGCGACAGTGGTGGTGGTGACGATGACGGTTGACGGTGACGGTTGTGGCAGTGGTGATGGGGCGGCGACGGTTGTGGCGGCGGCGGCGGCGGTGGTGGTGGTGCTGCTGGGTGGTGGTTCTGGTGGCGGTGGTGGTGGTGGTGATGGTGGTGGCGGCGGTGGTGGTAGGGGCGGCGACGGTTGTGGCGATGGTGGTGGTGGTGGCGGCGACGACGATGGTGGTGGCGGCGGCGGCAGTGATGATGGTGGTGGCGACGACGGTGGTGAAATATGATAAATTTATATATAGGATAAAAAAATTAGGTTAAAGAAATGGGTAAAAAAGAAAATAGATTCTAAAATCTATTCCTGAGCGTTCAGTAATAGGCTAATACCAGGGGGACCCTAGTAATAGCTATTACCTTCTTTGAGGTAATAGGCTATTACCAGGAATAATATTCCTGGTAATAGAAATGGTTACCAAACAAAAGAATATGCCTATTACTGGGAATGATATGTCATTCCCGACCTATTCCGTGAACCAAACGGGTCATAAGTTCAGTTTCTAAGGACGGTGGGTTAGAGGACCAATAACTTGAGCCCACCACTCACTTCAACCAATCATTGGTTCACACAGCTGTGTGGACTATACTTTTAAATAATGTACTTTTAATATATTTTCAAAAATGTACTTTTAATATATTAAAATGTACATTACATTCAAAGAAAATATATTATTTTGTATGATGTACATTCAATATACGAATAATGTACTTTTAATATATTTAAAGTTTACTTTTGTTATGGTCCACACAGCACAGTGTGGACCATAATTTATAGTCCAAATAGCACAACCAACTTACTAATATAGGCAATCTCTCAACACTTGCTAGCCTCAACGGCTCACAACTTGTTCTAATACCTATTTTCAAGATTAAATATTTACACTTAAATCAAAAGTTATAACTAATAGCAAATACATAACTTTATTTACTTAATTATACTTATATAACAACTAGTGTTGCGTTCAATGATCAGATGTTGAATTTGACCTTCCAAGTTTTCGCGCAACAATAACTAGTAGCGCAAAAACTCAATTTTAATTCATTATACTTGCGGAACATCTATTGTTATATTTCTATGGTAGAATGCTAAAATTGACCCTCAATGCCTCTACCCAATATTAATCGATCACTTGTAAAATGTATGGTACGGACTTGAAGGTGCTTCATACAATTATGACATGCTCAAAACATCTCATGATCTGACAAAAAAATCACTTATAAGATGTCATCATGACATAGAATATTTTGAATAAAGTATAAATAGCTATTCCGATCCGCCTTGCATTCTAAACCATCGATCTTCATTTCATATCTTAGTAGTATTCTAAGATACTAATGTCATTCCATTTTTCAGGTCTCTTTGCACCCGTCTTACCGCGCCTAATAAGTTGAACTTGATTTAATAATAAGAATGTACTCTCTCTACTATCTATCTATACTTCTACGTAGTGTAAACATGTACCCTTAAACAGCCTAATTTTTCACTGTCACAAATAATAAAACAATGGCTTTATTTGATTGATAAGATAGTTTATCAGTTAATTTTGATTTATTTAACTATTATTAGTTGTTTGACTTGATTAAACAATCAATGAGTGTTTGATTAATTAGTTTTTTGTAACAGTTTATTGCTTCAAAATGCTAAAATTCAAAAGCTGCTCAAAGCAGTTTTTTTGATCAGCTTTTTGAGAAAGTCATTTTTGCATGTAATTAGCTATCAATTATTCAGTTAACAGCTAATTTACCAAACAATTTTCTACAATGAGCAAATGTTATCAACTAATAAAACTCACTAATCCAATCAACTAATAGCTATTTACCAAACATCCCAAAAATTATAAATTAATACATCATGTTTGGTAAAATAGTTAGCTTATAGGCCAATTTTGACTTATTTGACCACTATTAGTATTAGTTGTTTGACTTGGTTTAAAGATCAATATAAGTGTTAGGTTGATTAGCTTTTTGTACTCCAAAATGCTAAAATTCAAAAAGCTATTCAAAGCAATTTTTTCAATTAACTTTTTTTTAAAAAAAATTATACCAAATAGCTATCAGCTAACAGCTAATTACCAATCACCTTTCTATATTCAGCTAATATTACCAACTAGTTATACTTTCTAATTAATTCAATCAGCTAACAGCTAACAGCTATTAGCTAACAACCATTTACCATACTGGATCATTATGTTTTCTAATTTAAGTTAGGCTAATCCTAAGTCCTAAGACTTCAGTTCAAAAGTGGTAAATCGAGAGTGTCCCAAAATACTAAATAGAATAATGGTGTGCAAAAGTTGGTTGCTAGCTGATTCATGGATGAAACGTGAATGAGTTGTCAGAAATTGCTATCCAACTGCTTCTGTATGTACTATGCAGAGCACATGCGTAGCTCTGATCCTGCTTTGCTGTCTTTCTATTCATTCTCCCTATACATTACATATAATAGAAGAACCCAAAAAAAAAAAAAAAAAAAAAGAAAAAAAAAGCCCAGCTCAGACCGGATGCTAAAGGGCATCATATCCATTACCTTTGCCAGTTAAGAGTCTGCAACACTAGCTACCCAAACTGTTTTTTACTGCTATTATATTAGTGGGACGACTATATATCTATTTTTTTTGTCAAGTACTTTATGCTCAGATGACATGTAGTGACTTCCCCCATATGGGAGGTCATGAAATCGAGTCTCAGTGAAGACGTTGACTCTTTGTGCTTCAATAGGTTGAGAAAGTATGTTTGAACAGATACTACAATATAATAGGGTCAGTAGCATTAAATATATATATATATATATATATATATATATATATATATCCATTTTTTTAGACGCCCACAGTAGGGCTGACCAAAATCCGAAAAACCCGAAAAAATCGACCGAACCACTAACCGACCAAGTCAAACCGAACCGAACCGCTACCCGATTCGCAAAATCGAACCGACATCTAAAACGACGTCGGTTTATGACATTCGGGTAGGGGGCTAAAAAATACACCCGATCCGTCCGAATATCCGATTAATACTAGGGTTATCCATTTTTTTAGACGCCCACAGTAGGGCTGACCAAAATCCAAAAAACCCGAAAAAATCGACCGAACCACTAACCGACCAAGTCAAACCGAACCGAACCGCTACCCGATTCGCAAAATCGAACCGACATCTAAAACGACGTCGGTTTATGGCATTCGGGTAGGGGGCTAAAAAATACACCCGATCCGTCCGAATACCCGATTAATACTAGGGTTACGTACGTAGAGTGCAATACGACGTCGTTTAGGCTTAGTGTATATATATATATATGTGTGTGTGTGTGTTGCTACAGAGAAGTTCTCATTTGCGTAGTCAGTCTCTTCTCTTAGGGTTTCCAGACGAGAACTTCTCTTCTGTCTTCTCTCATTCTATGAGTTCTCTCTGGCTCTCTGCGCAGTCGCACCTTGCGATTTTAGTCCTCACTCCTCAGTTCTCTCTTCTCTACTAGACAGAGACTACCTTCTTTGTAGTCTCTACTCTCATTGTCCGGTTGGTTCTGTTATAGACGACGAAACATTGGTCACTGGTGGAAGCCCTGAGGCCCTGACTGGTGTAGTGGTGCTGTGGTGGACTAGTGGTGTCGTCGACTTCCAGTAAACAGAAGCCCTCGTTCTCCGGGGTATTTGTGAGAAAAGAAGTAACTCGCTGACCCTATTTTTATATATTTGCAGTTCTTAAATTTATTGTGATATATTATGTGGTCTCTGTGATATTGTAGTGGAAGCACTGACTTTGTTACTGTAAAAATGCAAACCCTAGTTTTGTAAAAGTTATTTCTTAAAGTTATTGGCATATTACTCTGAGTTTATTGCGAATTTGTGATCTATTTTGTGTCTCTGTGATATTGTGGTGGAAGCACTAAGTATTTATTAAAACCCTAGTGTTATAAAATTGATTTCAGTGGACTGTGATTAAGTCAATCTGTTTTGTGTCTATGTTATGATACTTGATTATGGTTTCTATGATTCTTTGATTTCTGTGGACTGTGATTAAGTCAATCTGTTGAGAAGTTCCAAATTGTATCTTGATCTCATAACTTTTGATATATTCTGGTGGAAGCACTGATTGTTATAAGAGTCTTATAAATTAAAGTGTTATAATGTCTCTTAAAGGCTTAAATTGGTGGAAGCCCCATAGAAATCCTTATAATGATGTTGATGAAATGAGTTGTTTTTATGTTATAACAGTCTCTGATACATCTGGATATTTAAAATATATCCCTGAATCTGGATTTCTTTGTAAGTTTATGGATGTATTCCCTTAATTGTATTTGTATATTTGTATTGAATAATGCTCTTTAATTAATTATGCATTCCTGTTTAATAATGACACAAAATGTGTCTGATTCTGGAATGCTAAAATGATTTCATGTGCTGCCTCTTCTTGAATATGAATCCTGATGTGTGTACTGATTGTTCACCATTTTTAGATGGATAATAATATCAGTATGCATGGTAGTTAACCTCCCAACTCCTCAATTGATGGACCTTCAGGGGTGGAAGCCCAAACTATTGAGAATCAACAGAATGAGCAACCTCCTACTGTTGTTCCTGCCAAGAAGAGGAAACAGGTTGATTCCAGATCACCAATGTGGGATCATTTTGAGAAGATAAAGGACAATAATAATGTGGTTGTAAAAGACAAATGCATTTATTGTGCCAAAATTTATCACTGTGAGACAAAAAAACATGGGACTTCTTCCTTAAGAAATCACATGTTTAGCTGTTTGAAAAATCCTCACTCAAAGGAAACTAGGCAGTCCCTGTTAACATTTCAGGCTGTTACATCACTTACAGATGGTCAGCCTACTGTGGGAGAAATAGGGACCTGGATTTTTAATCAAGAGTCAATTAGGAGGGCCTTGGTTGAAATGATAATCATAGATGAATTGCCCTTTAGGTTTGTGGAGGGAATAGGTTTCAGGAGGTTCATAGCTATTGCTTGCCCTAGGTTTATAGTTCCATCCAGGTGGACTATAAGTAGGGACATCCTAGTTGTCTATGAAGAGGAGAGACTGAAATTGAAGTCATTTTTAAGGGGAAGCAGTCATATGGTTAGTATCACTACAGATTCTTGGACATCCATCCAAAGAATTAACTACATGGTAGTTACTGCCCATTTCATTGATTCTGAGTGGAAGCTTCATAAGAAAATCCTTGCATTTGTCCCTGTTACCTCTCACAAAGGTGAATATCTAGCCAAAACCCTAGAAAATTGTTTGCTAGAGTGGGGGCTTAGAGATGTGTTTTCTGTGACTGTTGATAATGCCTCATCAAATGACACTGCTATGGGGTTTCTGAAGAAAAAATTGGTGTCTTGGGGATCATCTACTATGAGGGCAAAGTATCTTCACATGAGATGTATTGCCCATATCTTAAACCTAGTAGTTCAAGATGGTCTGAAAGATTGTGATAGTTCTGTTAAGAAGGTTAGGGAGGTGGTTAGTTATGTTAGAAACTCTCCTGCTAGACTCAAGAAGTTCAGGGATTTGGCTGATTGGTTGAGTATTGAACAAAGGTCTTCTTTGTGTTTAGATGTTCCAACCAGATGGAACTCTACCTATTTGATGTTGCAGTCTGCATTAACTTACCAAAAAGTGTTTGAATCTTTGGAGTCAGATTGTTTTTTCAAGTCTGATTTGGGTAATTCAATTTCTGATTTTATGGACTAGGAATCTGTTGGCAGTCTGGTTCAGTTACTGAAGTGTTTTTATGCCATGACCACTGTACTTGGATGGTGGAAGATCAACTCTGCTAGGTTTCCAGTTCTGTCTAAGCTTGCTAGGGATGTCCTAGCCATTCCAATCTCCACTGTAGCCTCAGAATCTGCCTTCAGTACTTCTAGAAGAGTATTGGATCATTTTAGGAGTTCTTTATCTCCAAAAATTGTGGAAGCGGTGTGTACACAAGATTGGCTTAGAATGCAAAATACACCTTTATGTATTGAGGAGAATCTGGAAGAGTTTGAGAGGTTTGAAAAAGGTATGACTTTTTAGTTTTAACTTTATAATCCTTTATACTTATATTTTAAATTGCTTAAATTGTTAATACACTTAACTTTTGTTGTTTATTTTGCAGAGTTAAGTGGTGATGGTGGAAGTGGGAGGTCTCTTGGTTCTACACTTGCTACAATTCCTGTAATGTTATTATTTACATTACTTGATTTTATTGCAATCTTTTACAGTATTTGACTGTTTAACTAAATTGCAATCTAATCTCACTTGCTATTTTTTGAGCCCACTGTGTTTGACTCAATTACACTAGACATTTGTAAGTCTCAAACTTTGTAAGTATGAAGGCCTGGTAACTTGTACTAAGTTGCTGTCTCAAGTACCTTGGGCATTTGGTAATGTATGGATTATTTTATTCTGTCTGTTCACGTTAAGTTGGCATTTGGAAATGATGAAGCTTCCACCTTTAATCTGAAAAGGAAAGGATTAAGTTGGTCAGTTGCTCTATACTTAAGGTATATTGAAGCAATAAGCCCTTAATCCAAATGATATGGAAAAAATGCTTACTGAGCCAAAATTTATATAATCCCTTCTCTGTTTTTCATTTTCTAATGCTTGCTCAGTTGCTTACTTGCTTGTGTACTGTGTAGTACTAATTATTTACACTAACTTGCCACAATTCACAGGAAGAAGAATAGGTCTAATTGTCTGAATTCTAAAAGTCTAGGAGTTGAGTAGTTGATACTTGCAGTTGCTGAGTTGCTGATTTTGCTGAATTTGTATTTTTAGTGCTTCAGTTTAGACAGACAGACAGACAGTTGTGTATGTAGTATGTAAATTTGTATGTAGTATGTACTTCGTAGTTATTTACTTTTGTAGTTTTGTTGGAGTCTTAGACACTTAAGAGTTAAGACTCTTAATGTTAGTTAATAGACTACTTAGTAATACTAATTACTAACTTAGTAACTTAGTATTACAGGTATTAGTCTATTACACTATCATTCTATCAATTATTTACTTATTTATTCAATATTTTAGACTTTCAGTTACTTACTATTGTGCTTTTGATTTTAATTTATGAATTTTTTATTTGATTTCAACATTTTTTAATATCCGAAATAATGTCGGATATCCGACCGATCCGATCCAAACCGAACAACGATATAACCAACCGGATAAGTCAACAATTTTAAACGGATAAGGTAATCAAAATACATATCCAAAATCCGATCGGAGGAGCCTGACCGCCATCTGATCTGTCCGAACCGTCCGAATGCACAGTCCTAGCCCACAGTTGTACGTTTGTGGTCCCGTCCCAAGCTAAATGAAACATTTTGTTTGGTGCGATGCAATCATGAGTACAACACTATACCTTAATGTACTTTGTAATATCTACTCATCTATATTTAAACTTTACTAATTATGGAGTAATATTTTGTTCAAGCATTGTGAGAAGTGAGAGATCGACGCTCAAGCTAAGAGCATCCTTATTAGCTTAGATTTTACCATGATTTTTACATGCCAGATAGAAAAGAGAAGGAAAAAAAAAAAAAAAAAAAAAAAAAAGAGGGGGGGGGGGGGGGGGGGGGGGGGGGGGGGTGAAGTAAAATTTGTGACAAAAAAAAAAAAACAAAACAAAACAAAACAAAGTATTACATGCGCCCAGTTGGCACGTGCAGTACACACACCAACTGCGCACGAAATGTTCACCTCACGCACAGCAAGGCGCATCTGCTTTCTTTTTCCCTTGCTCAGTGGGTCTCACAAAAATGTGTTCCTTGTAAGATAAAAGACCATAAAAAAACTCACATCCCCATTATTCTAAAAACCTACGTTTTTTTTTTTCTTTACAAAAACCTCTCCAAAATTCGTTAATGTGGATGCTCTAATATTATGACTCCATTATAAAAGTTAGCTCACAAGTAAATTGAATATTTAATCTTAACTTAAATATAACATTTCAAATTTTTGTAAAGTTGATACAAGATTGTACTCGTGTTTTTTTTTTTTTTTTTTTTTTTTTTTTTTTTTTTTTTGTGAATTACTTTTGTTTTATTTTAAAGATATATTGGGATATCTTAGGTTTTTGCACTTCATACACACATATGCACCAATGACCTATGATCCAACACTTTAATACAATTTAAGGAATTTTCCTGAAAAGAAGATTATATCAAAGATTGGTCTTCAATATAATAAATTAATAACTCAAAATTGTCTGATACATCTTCATGATGGAACATTATGGTTAGATTGTCATATACCTTCATTTACTGTCTCATGATTTTTAAATATGCAAGACACTTCTAGCGATATGAGTGGTGTGCATCAATCTCATTCACCATTAACTATTTTGAGCATGTTAATATATGAAATTAATGTACTTAAAAGAATGTTTTAACTACATTTTAGATTTCACTTAAAATTATGTCTCAAATTGACTATTCTTAATCTAATTTTCTAACGGATTGAAGATGGAATGAATTACAGGTACAGTTCATTAAGCGACAATGCTTGAGGATAGAAATGTAGTGCTATAGGCAAAGAAATGAAGATCGAAATGAGGAGATAATATATATAGATTGCGGTGGTAAAGAGTTAGGTATTTTCGAGTACCCGACCTTTATAAATTTTAATACGACAAGTTTAATTTGAGTAGTACCTAATCAAATTCGAGATGGTTCAGGTAGAGAAAAAAAATTACTCGTTCCGACGCGAGTTAAGGTAATACTGGAGTACGTATTTGTACTCGGTACTCAACACTCGCTTATACATAATATACAGATAGTTTTGATGTATTGATTTTATAGATTTCCTATGAAAATTTCATGTTATACTGAACAAATTTTTAGAACCAATTATGTACTCCGTATTAAACAATTATATTTAAATTATTTTAAAATATACTAAACAGTTTTTGAAACAGGTATGTGAATCATTTTATCGAGTTTGAAACGGATTCAAGCAGTTCTATAACTAATGAGAATCAAATTCGTAAAGGATTTAAAAATAGACATTTTATCTATTGTCATCCCCATTAGCTCTTTGTGTTTCAGTAGGTTGAGAAAGTATATGAACATATACTACATTGTAATAGAGCTAGTAGCATTCAAAAAAAAATCTATTGTCATTCCCATTAGGGGAATTGTTCACGAGTTTTAGGAAAAAAAATGCGAACATGAAAGAAAGAGAAGCAAGCGAGAGAAGAAGAAAATTGCTCCTGCAAATATAGGGTTTTTTTGTAGAAAGTGGGGCCCGCCACAAATTAATGCCAGCTGCACTGCACTCGCGTGAGAGTCATAATGCACGCGCCAGCTGAGCGCATTTCTGACATTATTTACGAAAATTATTATTTTTGAAATCAAATTTTTTATGTTTTAGATTTTTCTTTTTTCTCTGCGTTAATATCCAAAATAGTCCTCGACTATAGTATTTTTTTCAATTTTGTCCTAAACGACTTTGGTGGCTTAAAGTAGTCCTAGAGTTTTGTGTTTTTACTCAATTTAGTCCTAGACTTTTGTGTTTTTGCTCAATTTAGTTCCTCATTTGTTATTCCGTCCATTTGTTGTTAAATAAATAGAAAATTTAGTAATTTTAATATTGGCATCTCTTTACTCATAGACATGTGAAGTGCAAAATCCCTTTTTTTTTTTACAAATTACTCCCAGAATCACTCCTAAACTTGCGAATATAAAATTTGATCCATAAGTCTAAAAGTAATTCTGGGTGTAATTCGTACAAAAAAGAGGGATTTCTCATCTCGCAGGTTGAAAGTAAAGAGAGATCAATATTGATATTATTGAATTGTCCTTTTATTTAACACCAATGTGACGGAATAACAAACGGATGACTAAATTGAGCGAAACACAAAAGTCTGAGTCTATATTAGGTCATCAAAATCGTTTAGGACGAAATTGAGAAAAACCACTATAATCGAGGACCATTTTAAGTATTAACTTTTTTTTTTCTCCTCTCTCTTGTCTTCTCTTTCTTAATCACACTTACAAAAACTCTTCAAAAAAAAAAATAAAATAAAAATAAAAATAAAAAATTCTACAATTAATAATAGAGAATAAAGAATGTATCTTTATTGGCACATTGAAGTAGGAGTCACTGTTGCAGTCAATGGAAGGTACGAAATGGGTGCAGACATTAGACATAGGATCCTATATAGTTGTTGCCGTTGCTGCAGTCCTCAATATGCTATCGCTGCCGTTTGTGATAATCATCAGACTTAACCCCTGACCTCTGTACACCAATTTTGACTTTCTTTTATTGCAGACACTAAATGTCGGATTGTATTTGTAAATATTTGTTGTGACTTCTGTTAGGGACATCATATTTGCGCTTTCCGGCCAAGTAACTCGTAGTTCAATGATACGGAGTATTTTGTAGCTCTTTTAAATGAGATGTCACATGTTCGAACCTTAATATATAAAATTATTATGGTAAATTAGATATGATAGGTTTAATATGAGTAACAATCATTATTACAGCGATCATAGTCCACACAACTGTGTGAATCATAAATAAAAAATACATATTTAATATATTAAAAGTATATTATTTGTGTATGTAAAGTACATTATTTAAGTACTGAAAGTACATTATTTTATAGAGTTAATTCCAGCATTGGTCCTCCGACTATCGTGATTTTTCACAATTAGTCCTCAACTTTTAATTTGGACAATTTAGACACTTGACTATCAAAATGTTTCCTATGTTGATCCTTCCGTCCTAAACTGGTTAAGTAGACATTAAAATGAGGGCTAAAATAGTCTTTTAATAGGTTATGTGTATAATACATCGTCCTTCTCCATATACGGGATTAATTAATTAAAATCAAAATATCCCAAACCTAATTGACTACTGCAGAAGTACTGCCCATCTCTTTCTCTCTGCAGTCTGCGAAGAAGCCGAAAAGCCACTATCGGTCTTTCACCCACCACCGCCCACCAGAACCAGCCCACGAGAGTCCACCAATGTCGTTCTCCACGTGAGTCGCAACTGTTCTCCTCTGCTCTAGGCCGCTGCCTCCGTCTCCTCTGCTCTAGTCGCCACACTCCGCCGGCCGCCACCGTCGCACACTCTACTCTCCAGCTCCTCAATTTTTAGAAAAATCAAAATACCCCCTTTTTCTGTTGACCCGTATCATCGTTCTCCTCCATCCACAAAAACCCTAGCGACTATGTCTGCAACAAAATAACCGACGACGACGGCGCTCCGGAGGTCAGGATTTGAACTGGACGCGGCAGAGGCTTACCGTCCAGTTTCAAATCGCAAAATAGATGTTGGCGGTGTCGACTTTCCGGCAGCAGATATTGGTGCCCCCACGGCGTCGACTGTCCGAATCACTCACTTCACACCTTTGTGACAGAGATGGCAAACGCCATCATAAACTACGATGCCGGGTTGAAGTAAAGTCGGAATCGTATCAGGCTTGGAAACAGCGGTGTTGTCGTCGTCAATCAGAAGAGAGTCAAGCCGGCAGCGTCGCTGGAAGCCACGACCGCGACATTGGACGCCGGTGGAAACGTCGACGACGACTTCATAGAGAAGCTACAATAAACCGGTGGCGTGGAAACGGAGCTCAAGCTCCCTCTCAGCGATGTCAATGTCTGCAAACCTCTTCTCAACATCATCACGGTCTTCCTTTGAGTCAACTATTGAACTACAGGTACATATTTTCGTGGATGGAGGAGAACGACGATGTCAGCCAGGTTAACAGAAAAGGGGTATTTTGATTTTAATCGCGGCGTATATGGAGGAGTAGGATGTATTATACGCAAAGTATGTTAAAAGACTATTTTAGCCCTCATTTTAACGGATACTTGACTAGCTTGGGACGGAAGTACCAATATTGGAAACATTTTAATAATCAAGTGTCTAAATTGTCCAAATTAAAAGTCGAGGACCAATTATGAAAAATCACGATAGTCAGAGGACCAATGCTGGAATTTGTATATTCAGTACATAAATAATGTACTTTTAGTATATTAAAAATGTACCTGATATTCATGACCCACACATCTATATCAACCATAGTTCACACATTAATTTGCCATTGAGCAAAGATCCGCCTTAGTACGGCAAATTATATCATGGACCCTGGTCCAATACACAAAATTTGACTTTATAATGCACAAAATTCATGTTCATAATACACATACACATAAATACGATATAATGAGCATAAATTCTGTGCAGTATGAGCAAGAATTATGTGTATTATGTTAAGTGTTTATGTGCCCTCAGCTATATAATAATTTATTTTTTTTGGTGGAGATTTTTGACAAATATCGCCTGTTATTTTATTTACAAATTTTATTGAAATACGTTAGTTATATAATTAAAGTATTTATTTCAAATTCAATTTCCTTTAAAAAAAATCAATTTCAAATAATAATACAATGCAAGTAACTTGTTATTTTAAAATCAACATAATAATAGCATAATTAAACTTTTAAAAATATTAAATATTACATTATATAGTTATACTTACATTTTTAATCAAACTAATTCTGAGCTTAAGAACTCAAGTACGTTTTTCTGTTTCTTTGCTAATTCAGAGGATGTCAAAAATTTAATTAGTAAATTTGTTAAATTAATAATAGTCCGTGCATTGCACGGGACAATTATTAGTATAGTATTATAACATGATTAGTTCGAAACTTCAAATATCGATGACACACCAGATATAACACATATATTTCATTATATATAGGACATACAATAGCATCAATTATCACCATAATTCAATATCCATAACCACTTATAAATCATCTTGCATCAAGTTAAAAGAGGTTGTAAAACACAAACGGAAACAAGTAGTGAAAATATAGGATAAATATAATCAAATGTTGATATTGGCCAGTTGTTGAACATTGACGGGGTAAGAGTCGGAAGGTGGTCCAGAATAGGCTCTCTGTGCAAGGACGGCGTTCACATTTTGTGTGGAATGAAGGGCGTCCCAAAATATGTACTGAGTTCTAGTGCCGCATGGAGGCATGAATGGTGCACAATTTATCTGTCCCAAAGTCGTTATTATCGCACAACATGGTCTATCCCACGTTGTAAACCCTGCAATACACATAGGTTTTGTTAAAATGTATGAATTAATATCATGGAGATTCTCCGAGTATACTGTTTTTACTACGTTTGGTCATAAACTTTCAAATTGATCATCTGTGATTCTTCGACTTTCAAATTTAACTATTCGTGGTCTAAGTTAACCACACATGGTCCTTCAACTATTAAATTTTAACTAACTATGGTCTTTTCAAGAGAATCACGGCTGGTTAAATTTTGAAACTTGAAGGACCATGGGGGGTTAACTTGGACCACGAATGATTAAATTTGAAAGTCGAAAGACCACAGATGATCAGTTTGAAAATTTAAGACTAAACGTCACAAAATCACTATACTCAGAAGACCCCAAGTTTAAAATATCATGGTCTAATCATTATGTCAAAAGTCATTGACGATTAATAATTACCATATCTGGCACGGTTGTTTAACATATCGCCCATAATTCCATAGGTGTTACCGTAGACAAAAACGGCACCGGGATGGCCACCATTGTTAAGGTTGTCCACCAGACTTCTCAGACCGCCATTGAAGCTCCCAAGCATCTGGTTTACAGAGTCAACGCATCTCCCTGATTGGGCCTGCCCTGTGGCTAGCTGGTTTGGGGTGCAGCCCAAAGGCCCAATTCCTGCTAGATAGAACTTCCTCAGACCAACACTGTACAATGCCTGCAAAATTATTATACTCCGTGTTCGTTAATCAATCATTACATCTCACAGTAATTTTGTCGAACAGTTTATGTGCGCACCACGAGTTGCCTGGCGTATCGATTGAGCAGAAGGTCGGCGAATTGGGAGGGATTATAGTTGAAGCTGGAAGTGTAGAGAGAAGGCAGAAGGTAGTTGTTGACGTAGTCGTTGCTCCCAATCACCACCACCGCAATTGATCGGGCTAGGTAGGTATTCAGATCGCCGGGGTTCATCATCGTCCTCAACTGGTTCAACGTGCTCTCAAAATTCACCACTTGTTGGCTCAACGTGTACCTGTCTTGCTGCATTACACAACCATAAGGTAAAAGATAGTGTGAATGAGGCAAAAGATTGAAAAAGTGATTGAGTATGAGTGTATATATTTATTACATAGTGCTGGCCGGTTTCATCAAGGATGCCGGCGCCGGCGGAAGCATAGTTGACTCCACCGAGAATTCTATTCCCCCTTGTGTTGGGATCGGCGAACGGAGGAGGAGCCGGCATGCCCAACCACTCTCCTGGAAATTTTAATTTCACCAATATAATTAGCTACAAATTCAACAAGATAAATCATCATAGTACATATAATTCATAAATGCTTTGATAAATAAGCTAAGATAATTAAGTTTTTTTTTTTTTTTTTTTTTTAGCTTAGGGACGAGAAGTGAGCACGACCAACAAATAGGTACGAATACTACAATTATCATGTAAGTTACGTTAAAGATGAAAAGTGTAATTTTCTTTTTACAAAAATACAATCTACCATCCTTCAAAAAAGTGTAAGGCGACTACTTAGTATAGATGTAACATGATCGATTTAAATCCTGTAAAGTTAGATAGTGATTTATTATTCAAGTTTAGTCTTTTGATGTTTCAATGAAGAAAATATGTAATTATATAAAGTACCAAGAAGATCTGAAAAAGTTTTCCCATTGGTAGATCTGCCGGAAGCTCCACTGGAGAAGTCCACACCGTACGGATAGTAATTGGCCCTTGCTCGGGAGTTGAGGAAGTTGGTATTGCCGACATCAACCGATGAATCTCCGAACACAAACATCGCCGGGGCCTGCGGTGCTCCTTCTACGCCATTGGATTCCAAACTCATGACCACACAAACCACAAACATCAAAATAATGCACGTAAACTTTTGGTACGAATAAGAAGACATCATTATTAAGTGGTTTAATGTTCTCGATTTTGCACTCTGTTGAAGAGAGGCTTTGGTTGATAGATGTTTAATGTAATGGTTATGGAAGTAAAGTTAACAAGAAAATGTTCGGGATTTATAGCGGTGTGATTGAAGTAGCGTAACGGCTTGTGGTGATGAATTTTACGGTGAACGATAGCAAAGGCCATGAAATGGTGGCATTATTTCTGCTTTTTTCTTTCAAATTTGTTCTTTTTTCAAAACGTGACGTTAAAGTGTTCCGGTTTTAATTATTTTGTAGTTTTAAAATCTTGTGTTGAAAGCATGACGATAATATTACTCCTTTAATTTAACATTATGCATGACAGCAAGAGCTAGGATGTGTATCCTTGTTACAAAAACCCCACTTCACATGTCTCATCATGTATATATGACTACATTTGAGCTTGAACACAAGACTTTGAAGGTACAAAACAATCAAAATGTGAAACAACCTTATCGCCTATCCTATGTTTTGATGAAAAATAAAAAATAAAAATCAAATCAAATTGAGAGTGAGAAAAAAAAAGGGCTACTATAAAAAAGAAAATTAGGAAAATCTATCATAGGTGTAATTCATGGAATATACCTCCTATTAAGTGTTTAATTCTTATTGAATGAAGCAAATGAAATGAACAAAATTCATGGTTTGTCTCCTTTAATTAATCAATCAAACTATGACACAATTATGTTATGAAGTAAAAAAAAAAAAATGGAGTAGGAAATGTAAATCTATGTAAATATGTAATATTAGAAATAAAGGGATGACACTCATTGAAATTATGACATATGTTTTATTAGTTGTGTCCAATTAAACAAGGTTTTAGAAGTTATTTAAGAATTTAGAGGACGGTACGTTATAGTGATAAAAAAAAAATTAGATAATTAGTATCATCAATCTTAAGATAGGCCGTCACAATTATTTTCTTCCAAAGTCACACAAAATACAAGTTATTCACAAGTAATGATTGTATTGAATATTTAAGAATTTAGAGATCCGTTATAGTGATAAGAAATAGACAAAATTGACAATTATTATCATCAATCCTAAGGTAGATTCTCATAACTTTTTCCTTCCAAAGTCGCACAAAATACAAGTTATTCACATATAGTGTATTAAATCGGTTATAACGGTTAGATTTTATTACAGGGCGTTTGGTTGGAGGGAATTACAATTTCATTCTCACATAATTTCAAATGCAAGAAAATTCATTCGTTTGGTCGAAGGGAATTACAATTCCATTCTCACATAGCATTTTCATTTTCTCATACTCTGGATTATATATGCATTTCAAAATGGACAAATACATTACATGAAGGATAGAATCCTTAACAAGTAATTTATTATAACTTAGACTTATAACTTTTATATACGACCCGATAACAAGACATGAAATCAAATAAGGAAATAACAAGTTAGTGTTTAGGTTTAACATGTCTTTACTCATGAATGGTAAGGTGTTATTCATGACTTAATTGGTCAACCAACTTTACCCATTTAAACCGTAGTTAATTTTAGTATTAGTTATGATTTTTAGATATTACTTTGAATATTATAGTATGTTATGAATTGAATATCTTTATTTTTTTGTTGATTTCATTGTAGATTGTTTTTTTTTTTTTTTTCAAGTTTTTAATTTTTTTTTTAAAAAATTATACTAACATCTCTAATGAGTAATGAGTTTAAACCAATTATCATGTAATATCTGAACTCAAAACTTATTAAATAAACATTTCTATTGTGTCAACTAGTTTAAAAATCGCGTTTAAGTTTGTGTTTAGAACTCCAATATGTTAACATTAACATGTCTTATCCATGTTTAGTCTTATCGTATCGGCATATTATATCGTGTACCAGGGCGCACAATGCAAATTATATTGTGCACTGTGCACCCTGGCCCAAAATGACGTCGTTTTGTACTCTTTTTTTTTTTTTTTTTTTTTTAAATTCCTTTTTCTGTGTCTGTTGTTAACTTCATAAAAAAATTCTTATGTTTTGAATGTACACAATTATATAATAGAATGTACATAATTGTATAATAGAATTTACATAATTGTATAACAGAATACACATAATCTAACATAATACATAAAACACATAAACTCTTAACATAATACACATAAACTCTTAACTCTTAAAAAATCACATGTTTCGAATAATGTACATAATATAATTGTATAATAGAATGTACATAATTGTATAACAGAATACACATAGCCTTCGTCGCGTCAACTCCCCACACAACTTAACAAAACGATGATATTTTGGGTAGGGCGGAGCGCACGATACATTGTGGGTCCTTGTGCACGATATAACGATTGTATCGTATCAAGTATCAACTTGTTAACAAACATAGCTTGTTTATACAAATTGATAGGTGGGCTCTAACTTGATTAGAAATTAATCTATGAATAAAAAAATCAAAGTCGAAAGATAATTATTCAAGAAATGAGAATTAGTGGGTAATATTAAAATTTCATGAATGTAGGAAGTAACATGCATAAGTAAAATAAATCTAAAGTTCTCGCTATGTGTCGTGATTTTATTGATGGAAGAAAGTAAGTAATAAAAATTGTGAGCTACATTCCTTTTTTATGGACAAATGAAAACATACCATGTAAACGAAAAAAAAAAAAAATGAAGTAGTTTTAGTCCCTCAATTGTTTATTATTAGTCGTTTTAGTCTCTAACTTTTTACAATTGGCAATATATATACACCTCTAACTCTTCAAAAAAGTTATAGTTTTAACACATGGAATAATGAAATTGTTAAACTTTATTAAAATTTTACTTAATACATGAGTATTTTAGTACTTTAAATATTTTATACTTAATTATAATCTTCTTTAGTCATATTTCATTTGTAAAATAACAAAAATAAATTTTAATAGGATTCGTATAGAGAAAATAAAAACGATGTATCAAAATTGAAGAGGAAAAGTCTAGGGGAGAAGGTTGTCAATTCTTAATTTTGCATAAAAAAAATTCAAAACTGAAAGAGTTATAAAAATAAAGATAGTAAACTTTTAAAAGTTAAAATATCTACGTACTATGTAAAATTTTAATAGAGTTTAATATTTTTGTTCATTCAGGGGTTAAAGCTACAATTTTTAGAAATATATTGCAATGATAAAAAGTTAAAAACTAAAAGAAGTTAAGAACTAGCAAGTACTAGGCAAATTTTTATGTGAACCATGATCGAGTGGTGTGTAGACTATAAAAAGTACTTTTTTTTTTTTTTTAATTTCAATAGGAAGGGGAACACCCGGAAAGAAAGTTCTACATGTCAACACTTTGACGCCAGGATGGAACACCACCATAGTCATCCTCAAGAATACTAATTAAATCATTAGGAGGATCATCTAAATAACTGGTTCCCAACTGAGAAAAAGAACACCGAGCCAATAGGTTTGCATCTTGGTTTTTCTCCCTGGCAATCATAGACGGAGCCAGAGGGGGGGCAGGGGGGTCAACTGCCCCCCCCCCCTCACCCCCCTCACCCCCCCACCCCACCCCCCTACCCTATATTGTATATAATATGTATATATAGTACATTATTCATATAAGTATTATAAAACAGATTATGTAAACAAAAGTTGTGATAGACAAGGTGGTAGCTAATGTTTATGAGTTTTGGAATGACTTGGGTTTGAGTCTTTGCATTGGCAATGTTACAGTCTTATTCACTTATTAATAATGGAATGTGTAATTTATAATGTGTTTTATATTCGAATTGTTTTATCAAATTAATTATGTTTCATATTTTGTTATAAATATTTTTATAAAGTTTTAATATGTTTTATTTTTCACTATATCCAACAATATTTATTGTTATACTTCTTAAGTATTTCAATTTTTTTTTTTTAAACTTTCTCTTTTATTTTAATTTTTTTCCCTCACTAAAAAAAATTCTAAATCCGCCATTGAATCCATCCCTACTTCTTTGCCCCCCCCCTCAACATATTTTCTGGCTCCGTCCCTGCTGGCAATAAGTATGATTTTCCAGTCTCCAATGGTTTCCAAATCCCTTCTACATGCATTAAGGATGTTGCTGGCCACTGCATTGACCCTTTCCTTTTTGTTGATAGCTTCCACCACAGCACTGGAGTCACTTTCAAATATAGTATACCTACATCCAAGAAGTTTAGCTAATTGTATTCCCTTCAAAAGAGCCCAGGCTTCAGCCGTCTCAGCTGCACAGCATCCTATGTTATGGATGTAACCTTTAACCCAATTGCCTCCCTCGTCCCTGGCGAGTCCGGCAAAGCTTGCCATGTTGGTTAGGGGATTTGAGCATCCATCTATATTTATCTTAGTCTATCCCGGGGTGGTTTAATTTAGGCACTGTTGAAAATTTTGCTATTTTCGTCCAACAATAATGTTGGTAGGTAATTTGTAAAAAATCACAACTTTCTAACAAAAATAGGAATGAACGGAAAGTTGGACGGAAGTATATAACAGCAGGGAAGGTCGCCAGTCGCTGCTGAAATCTCTGGTCTCCACCATCGCAAGTGAAGGTACATAAAAATATATTATTAACGGATTCCCTCTTCAATTCATATTCTAGGGTTTCCTTTCATTCATCCTTCATCTCATCCATCCCCAACTCCAGAACTACAAATATATATTGGGAAGAAGAAGAACTAAAAATATATTATTAATATTTTATATTTTATTTATAATTATTTAAGTTTTCTTCTAGAAATTTGTAGCTAAAAGTTCAAACCAGGGTGCCAATGCTATTCTACCCTATGAGGAAGTTAATTCTTCAACTAGAATCTAATTTGAATTAGAATTTAAAATATTGACACTGGAGCATCTATGAATGTTTGTGCGAAGGTTGTGTTAGTATTGTGATTACAATTTATTTCAACTACTTGTCTCATTTTTGGGTTCTAATACTTATATTATAACTTCTGAAATGCATTTATGTCTTCATTTTTGGGTTCTAATGCTCCACTTGTAAAGCAACATTTCGATTACAAGTGAAAGAGGTGAAATTTGACATT